GGGTGAATGGCGAGGAAGTTTCGTCAACTTCTCCATCTCTATTTTTAGGTCTTTTATCTCGTTCTCCATCTCCATGACTTTCTGGAGAAGTCTGAAACATGCCGCATGTGTTGTATGTTCGTTCTTGTAGTTGACATCCATTAAGGTTACTAAAATCCTGGCCCGTTTGGCAGAAGATTTGATAATGGGGAAGCCTATGTTACATTCATTTAGACAATGTGCATTGTTTATTACATCATTATTTTTAGCTCGTCTGCTGCGCGTCTGTGGTCCATTGGTAGCGACGCCGCCCTCCTCACCTCCTTGACTGGGTTCGAATCCCACTTGGGGCGTACTTTCTGAGAAACATCCCGAAGGCACTTGTTCGACTACCATTTTCACGTATATAAACTGGAGAAGTTTTTAAGGATGTTCGAAGAGCTATTTAACCAGACGAACGATATGAAGCAGGTAGGAAACGATATGCAGCAAGTAACAAGCGACTCAGCCGTTTTTGGAATGGGGGGTCCCGCATGGCTGTTGGCAAAGAAGTAGTCCGAAAGAGAATGGTTGTCCCAGAGAAAGTCCTGTCGAAGTTCCGTGTGGATCGAGTAATTGTTGTTTACGATCCAGTTTCTTAATCCAAATAGGCCCTCAGAGCGTCCGGTCGGCAGAAATCTCGGGAAAGGCAAACCCGTCGGAGCTCGAAAATTTCAAACCGAATTCGAAAGGCCCACTTCTACGCATTGAAATCAATAAGCCATTACTCGAACCCCAATTGCAGTCGGTGCCGATTATCATGAAGGAATTTCTGTTCATTTGGGGGCTTAATGACTTGTCAGAGCCTAGCGTCGTTGGCCAAAATTATTTTGCGGAGCCAAGTTCTGGAAGGTTGCCATCACCATAAAGGATGAAGGGTGAGGGTCCGAGAACTGAACCTTGATGCACGCAACTTACCACTTTCACCTAGTCTGACCTGTCATTTTCGATACAGACACGCTGTGTTCGGTCGACCGGAAACACCCTTCTCCAGCCCCGAAGATCTCCCAAGATGCGGAGGGCACCCGGTCTATGAAGAAGGCGTCTGTGCGGAACAGCGTGGAGGGCTTTACGAAACTAGATGCACACCACATTGACATCGAACCTCTCTTCTAAGGCCCTGATTCAGACATCCAGACCAGTTAGCAGAGTTGAGGAACAAGATCGTCTTCCCGGAAGTAGTTAGAAAATTCTACAAAATGTCGTTTTCCTCACAAGATTGCTGCATAGCACTCTTTTCTAGGACTTTCATAGTTTTGCGTGAGAGGCGAGCTAAGTTAATAGGCCTGAAGCTGCTTGCTGCCATCTTGCTATCTCCTTTATGTAAGGGAACGAGGTTAGCTTTCTTTCACTGTGGGGGCAGCCTCCCTATTCTCATTGACAGCTCAAATAGAATTGGAAGCGGCTTTGCCAGTTCCGCTGATAGTTACTTAAGTATCAGTCCAGGAATCCCATCAGATCCAGGAGACTGAGGGCGCATCTTTCTTCTTGGACGGAAAAGGCGACAGTTTTAATGACGGCAGTATCTTGGCCCATTTGCAAGTGCCGAATGTCTTGCCCAATTTTAGACTCCTGATTGTCTTCAGAGAACTCCCCCGGTATAACCGATGAAGAAATTTGAAACAGTAATTGCACTTTCTGTAGCTCTTCAACTTTTAAGTTTCCGAGGCTATTCTTAAGACACGCAATGTCCTCCATGTGTTGTCTCCTATTGCATATGTCCACATAAAACCTCTTTGGGACATGTAATGGATTCTGCTAGCAGGCAGGGCTCTAAAGAAGTTTTTGCAACCCTATTTGTTTGCGGCATTTAGCAGGTTGCTCATTGTATTCGGAGAATTTTATGGCATCTTGAAAATGCAAGCCCTTATTGCACAGCCTCTGTTCCTTCTTCGTTATCCTTTTTGCCATTGGAGTGACCCACAGCAGTCCGACACATTTTTTCAATATTTTACAGGGCAATGGGATTCCATTAGATACTCTATAGTCTCGTGAAAGTACTGCCAAAAGTCTTCTGCATCTGCCATTTGGACTGGCCAGTGTTCTTCTGAGACGGCACGTCTCGTTACATTAAAAGCACCTTTGCAAATGTTTCTGTGCCCCTTAATTTGTGGTTGTGGGCTCGATAGGAGAGAGCATGTGGATAATAGCAATATGGTCACTTAAACCGAGAGATAGTTGTGCATTCACTTCCCTTATGACTCCCTCTTCACAGAAAACGTGATCTTGACAGTCGAATCGCTGTCTTTTTCTCTGTCTTCTTCCATATTTTATGTGTTGGATGAGGGATTCGTCTAGATAGGATTGTAGTAGTTTGTGGTCGAATGGCGTAGATGGGCCGAATGCTGCAGAAATTTTCTACTCTAGTCCTGAAGCGTTAAAGCAGCCTAGAAGTAGTAAGTTCTCTTGCTTATATGGCAACTCCAGTGCACTCAGTAATTCCTTGTCGGCGCTTTCATTCGAGCTGGAAGGCCGACAGACAACACGCAGATGAAGTGCTGATGATTGTTTGATACCAATCTAACATAAAATCGTGTCAAATGTTCGCGGCACCACACTGCATATTTGTTTTCGATAGCACAATATTTCATTTGATGCATAAATCGCTACCTCCCCCCTCCTACGTTGAAATGTGTCGCAATGGAACACTTGACGGCTTTCAATACTGACATCGCTGCCATTTATTTCTTTAGTCAAACATGACTCTGTTTAAAAAGTTATGTGAGGTTTCTAATCAGAAGCTAATAGTTAGAGTTTATTCAGCTTGATAAAGAGACTCTGGCAGTTAGTTTCAGTTTCAGTTTATTTCGTAAGGATAATAGGCAAAGCCTTTGAAAACCCTATTGATTACATGTCAGCTCGTTAGAAATAACTGTACTCGAACAACAAGTGTTCAGTATTAAAACAGTACTTGGTTCATTTGAGTAGCATTGTCTCAGAGAAAATATTTGTCTGGACCAGGGGTATTAATTCAGATTCAGACTGTCGAGGGAAAACAGGGGACACAAATATTCATCCAAGCGTTTCTTGAAGAGTTGCAGGGACGTAGCCTCCACGACTGACTGAGGGAGATCGTTCCATTTCTCCACTACCCTCTGCGTGAAAAATTCAGAACAAAGATTCAGCCTGGACATTGTTGCCCGTAACTTCATCGAGTGACCACGAAGATTGACTGAAAGGTGCCACTGAAACACGTCCTCCAGGCTTAGTCCATGCTCAAGGCCATGTATTATCTTGTAGACGAGGATAAGATCACCTCTTTGCTGCCTGTAACACAGAGGGGATAAATTAAGGCAATTCAGTCTGTCTGTGTAGGAATGGCTTTTTAGACCGTATACCAGCTTTGTTGCACGCCGTTGTACCCGTTCGAGGCATTCTTGGTCCTTTACCAGCCATGGCCGCCATGCTTTTATGCCATATTCTAAGTGGGTCCGAACAAAAGTGCCGTAAACTCTCCCAAAAAGGTCTTGGGCAAAGTTAACGAAAACCCTTTTTATTGCATGCAGCACTCCCATGGTGTTTTTTGCAGTCTTGTGACACTGCAGTGTTGGTTTCAGGTTGTTCTGTATCCAAACCCCCAGATCCTTCTGTGAGGATTCTGCGGGGAGCCTTATACCTTTCAGGTGATAAGTCCTCAGACTCTCATTTGAATGAGAGTTGGTTGGACGCAGATGAAGGATGGCACACTTCTCCACATTGAAATCTAGAAGCCATTTCGTCGACCACGCTTGCAGTCGGTGCAGATTATCTTGAAGGGATCTCTGAGCATTCGGACCCTTAATGACTTGTCAGAGCTTAACGTCGTCTGCAAACACTATTTTGCCGCAGTCGAGTTCCTGAAGGCTGTCGTTAACATGAAGGATGAAGAGCAATGGTCCCAGAACTGAGCCTTGAGGCACACCACTGGTCACATTCACCCATTCTGACATATCATCCCCGACACAGACACGTTGTTTCCGACCAACCAGAAACGGCCGAATCCAGTTCAGAAGATCTCCCCGGATGCCGATGGCGCTCAATTTGTGAAGAAGACGTTGGTGCGGGACAGTGTCAAAAGCCTTGCGGAAATCGATGTATACGACATCGACCTCAAAACCCTCTTCTAGAGCTCTGGTCCAGATCTCCAGACAAGCTAGCAGATTTGAGAGGCAGGAACGTCCTCTCCTGAAGCCATGTTGAAAATCCAGCAAGATGTTGTTTTCTTCACAAAATTGCTGTATAGCGTTCTCTACTATAGCTTCCATCGTTTTGCAAGGGAGGCAAGTTAAGCTAATAGGCCTAAAGCTGCTTGCTGTCATCCTGCTACCTCCCTTATGCAATGGAACGAGGTTAGCTGTCTTCCACTGTGAGGGCAGCCTTCCTGTTCTCATTGACAGCTCAAAGAGAGTCGAAAGAGGCTTTGACAGCTCCGTTGATCAATAAATAAATATAAATAAATAAATAAATTTTATTTAATGCCAGTTTACAGGCATTGTCAAGGGAAGCGTTTAAACATAAATCCGACCGGCAGTGAAAAAAACTCCTGAGCTAAAGGGATAAAAATACAGTTGATGGTGGTTTTTATGGTTTGGAGGGCTCAGGAGAAAAAACTGCCGGCGGTGGTAGAATATCGACCGTCAAGAAGGGGGGAGGTTGCACGGTTATCAAAGATTTTCGGACGTCAAATTCCTTTCATGAAGTTGGGGATAGCCAAAGTAGAGGCGTTGAGGAACAGCTGGTGAGACCGGCCATAGAGTTCAGAGACCACAAACGCCATCGCTACGGTACAGTCGATCAGAGTTTTCAGCACCCAAAATTTGTGGGAGCTTTTCTGAATGCAAAAATCGAGTAATAGTTCTCTTAAATAAAGGAAAATTTTGCAGAGTTTTCACACTCATGGGGAGTTTATTCCAAATAGCAATTGCATTTACAGAAAAGAACCGACGATATTTAACAGTACGTGCCAGAGGAAGAAATAAAAAGACCTCACGGTGACTGTTACGTCGTGGGTGGATATGATGTCTTAAAGAAGTGAGTGGGTTAAATGTGTGATTATATAAGAGATTAAATAGCAAAAATAGTCCCTTTTGTAATCTACGGAACCATAAAGGATCGAGGCCTGTAAGCCGGCAACGTTCTTGGTAAGACAAATATCGGTGTTCTGGGGTTAAAATTCTCTTGGTAAAAAAGTGTTGAACGGATTCTATTTTCTTCCGCTCAGTAGCACGCATGAGGCTAAATGAAAACGAACAGTATTCCAGACCAGGTCTAACGTACATGTTGTAAAGGCGCATTCTGATGTCCCTAGTTTTAAAGTTTCGGAGGATAAACCCGGTCGTTCTGCGTGCTTTGGAGACCATTAAGGCACAGTGCTCCGAGAGATTGAGACTCTTGGAGTATGATATGCCCAGATCTTTTATAACCCTGGGCACATCTATGGAGTGACCTTCAATATTTAGTTGAGGTTGGTGGTCGTCGCCAACTACCATGACTGAGCACTTATGGCAGGAAAGAGAGAGGCGCCATGTGCGGCACCACTGGGCGAAAGCCTGTAGATCGCTCTTTAGGAGCTCAAGCACGATGTCACCATCTGCCGGCTTATATCGATATGCAACTTTAAGATCATCGGCATACATGAAAGGCTTACCATTCTGAAATAAATCGGGTACATCATTAACGAAAAGGCAAAATAAAAGCGGGCCGAGTACACTACCCTGAATGACTCCACTCCTCACACGTGTGGGGTTGGAGATGGTATTGGAAATCTTAACTCGTTGTGTGCGAGTGCCCAAATAAGAGGATATAAAATTCAAAAGTTTGCCACCTATTCCGAAGGAGGACAATTTCAAGAGGAGAAGAGCATGGTCAACACGGTCAAAAGCCTTAGTGAAATCGAAATATACTGTGTAAAGAGCAAAACCATGGTCCCTATATTGGAGAACATAGTCAAAGAAGGGGAGTTCAGAGGTGTCACAAGATCGAGCTTTGAGGAATCCATGCTGAGCAACACTCAGTTAGTTATTCGCTGTTAAGTGACACATCATCTTATCCTTGATCAATGTCTCTAAGATTTTCGAAACTGCAGGGAGGGTGTTTATTGGCCGAAAGTCATCAAATAACGTAGATTTGCCGTGCTTAGGAATGGGGACAATGTGTGATTCCTTCCACAAGGTAGGATAAGTTTCACTTTCAAGAGCAAGATTAAATATCTTGCATAAGAGGGATGGGAAAATCGTGTTTGCATCGGCTTTTAAAATGCTTACAGGGACATCATCAGGGCCTGGACTATAAGATTGACGAAAACGCCGAATCGCAACAGTCACATCCCACAGAGTGAAACTTATAGTTTCTAGAACTGCCCCGGTTAATGACTGGATGGTCGGAAGCGGAGTGGTCGAGTCTTCAATGAACGTTTTGGACAGGAAATCATTGATGCTATCCGCGGTTAACTGGGCATCAACTATGGGATTTCCGAGATCGTCTCAAAGGATGGGATACTGCGTCTTTCTCTGAGTTCGTATTTTTCTAGAGAAAAGTTTCGAGACATTTAACGAATGGTTTTCGGTAAACTGGACCTCTTCGGCTAGCTGTTTTTCTTCAGACAATCTCTTAGCTCGATCAAAAATATCACAAATCAAGGGCAGAACAGAAACATCGTTCTGCAGATGGAAACGACGATAAAGCCTGCGCAATCTGCGACGAAAGGGTAAAGGTAGTAAAATCTCATCCCCAACATTAATAATTTTCTTACGGGAGACAAAACGAGAAATAAGCGGACCCAGAATTTCGTACAGTTTTGCAGTGCAAACATTTACATCCGAACTAAGGAATAACTCAGTCCAGTCGTAGGAATTAAGGTGTGTTAATAATTCGGTTGAGCGAGTTGATCGGAAATCGCGAAAAAAGTTATACTTTTGGGACGACATTTCGTCAGCCTCGAATTCCAACGTTGAAACAACTATGTCATGGTCTGAGCCCCCGAGTGGGCCTAGGGATGACACTGACGATGGCAAGCAGCCTCTACAGAAAAGTAAGTCAAGTATACTTGAGCCTCGGGTGGGAAAATCGACAACCTGATTCCACATCCCAACATCTACAGCCTCAAGAAAGTCATCGAACTTTCTGGGGCCTGAAGGCGGAGACCAGCGGACTTCAGGGAGATTAAAGTCACTCGCAACCAATTGATACTTAAAGCTTAAGTCGGCCGCACCATGAAATGCCTGTGAGAGTAAACGATCAAAATTGTCATTGGTGTTGGGAGGGCGATAGACGCAGCCAACGAGTAAGGAGAACTTATTTTTTAGTGCAACCTGGAGCCAGCAGCTGCCTTCTACTGCTGAAAAGTGCGGGAAGTCCAACGGCAAAAATGTAAGTGTTTTCTTAACGTAGACGCAGCCGCCCCCACCACGGCTATCTTGGCGATCATTTCGAATGCAATTATAGCCTAGAAGAGAGAGTTCAGTGTCAGCTACTGAGGCTGATGCCCACGTCTCAGTTACTAAAACAATATCAGGACAATGGACGAACACCTGAGTTCGAAGCAAAGGCATCTTATTAAGCAAGGATCTGGCATTTAAAACAAAAAGTTTGAAGGGAAAGGCTGTTAGTTTCTGAGGGAAGTGGGCTACATCGTCCAGTTCTGGGCTGCCCACGGAGCAAACGGTCCGGATGCAACCATCCGGTTCTGCAAATATTTTGTGGCATCAAGAAATTCTGACGTGGATAAAAACGGGTAGGACTTGGGGGAGGGAATGACGGGCAGGTGAACTGGTAACTATTGTTAGCTAACTTATTTTCAGATGGAAATCCGCGGGGCAGATACTGCAACACATTCCCGCCGGAACGAAACCGAAGATCGGATGAGTTAACTGGTCCAGTGTGGACATTAGCATGACGAATAAAGTTGTAAAACGGCCGTGATGGAAACAGGTTAGGGGGTGGGGGCGCATTGTTTCCATTGGAACAAGAGGTCTATTAAACGGTGGGAAAATCGGCATATTCGGCCTAACTGCCTCGATATGAGGGCTGGGGGGCAGTTGGGAACACGGTACGTTTTGAGTCGGGGTATTTGAGGCACTGTTCGCCGATTGTGGAGGAAAACATTTTATAATGGTGCTGGATTTATTGGGTGTCCGAGGGGCTGAGGCAGCAATTGGATTTGCCTTTGACTTAGACACATGCTTAGGCTTACTAGGGGTTGCTGGTGGAGTCGATAGAGGCGTGTTTATACCAGGCGTGGTGGTGTGTTTAAAGAGGTCAGCATTAAAAGTAGTCGAACTCCCTGCGGAATTGACTATGCCGTGACTTGCAGATGCCGCAGGTGGTGTTGTAGAGGACATATTCAGACTGACAGTAGGTGTCATTATCTTGATGTTGGTTTTTGCCTATTTTAGTTTATTTAGTCTTCGCTGCAGGGGTGTGAGGTCTGGCGAAACGGAGCAGCGCCATTTACGGCAGAAGTCTCTAGTCATCTCCCTACTCGACAAGATAAAATCGACTTCTATCATGGAGAAAAGGGTAACTAGTATCGGCGCATTACGGCTAAGCGAGCGAAGTCGCTTAGCTTGTGCGACACTGAAACTCAAGCCACAACTTTGTAGGAACAAATGCGCTCCCTCCATAGCAGATAAGTGGCTCGGGATTTTTCGCAGTACGAAATTATGCTTGCGTTTAATTCGTTCCTCAGTTTCCGCACTTATTACCCCAATAAGTTTAAAAGTTTGTTCAAGCACTTTTTCAGAAGTGTTGTTTATGTCGCCATAAATCAGCTGATCGATTATTTCGCCGGCTGATGGCCTGCTACGACTAGCAGAGGCGTATTTTTGGACGACTGAAGGGTCGAGAGGTTCTACATGTACTAAAGGGATTTGTGAGTTAATCAGATCTGCAGACGGCGAAGAACATATGTTGGCACCTGCTATGTCTTCAGTCACGATTTTAGCACCCAGAGACGGTGGGGAGGCCGCAAGCTTTCGCCCTTTAGCACGTGCTCTGCGGGGCATTACAGACAAAAAAAGTTTTTCGTTACAGAAGAAGGATCAAAACGTTTCCAACGTACGGAAAAGCGCACTGAATAGCAATTATTACTGTTATTTAACTACAAAAACTAGAGAGCGGTAGTAGGGAAAGGATTCACTACAATGGATTTTTTACAAAATACGACTATTTTGCCAGACTGTCAAACAAAACTGGGAAAAAATTTTACCTTATATTGGAAGGCGACTTTTAAAAGGGACTCAAGTAAAAAACAGGCATTAATTACTTA